GCAGGCTCAGCGGCCGTGGCTTAAGGGCCCAGCCGCTCCACGGGATGTGGGATCTTCCTGGACCGGGGCACGGACCTGTGTCCCCTGCATTGGCAGGTGGACTCTCAACCACTGTGCCACCAGGGAAGCCCCGGTAGTTCCTTTTTATTGCTGAGTGGTCATTCTCTGTATGGATGTACTGCAGTTTGTTTAGCAGTTTACCAGTTGATGGATATTTGAGTTCTTTCCAGTTTGCGGCTGTTACGATTAAAGCTGCTAAGAATATTTGCTTGCAAGTCTTTCTGTGGGCATATGTTTTCTTTTCTCTTGGATTAATACTACTGGGAGTGGAATTGCTGGATCATATGGTAAATTTATGTTTAACTTAATGAGAAATTGCCAATCTGCTTTCCAAAGTGGCTATGCCATTTTGCTTTCTCATTAGCAATATATGAGAATTCCAGTTGCTCTACATCTTCCTCAACACTCAGTATGCTCAGCCTTTTAAATTGTAGCTGTGTTGGTGGTTGTATAGTAGTATCTCATTGTGATCTTAACTTGCATTTCTCTAGTAATGTTGAGAATCTTTTCATGTGTTTATTTGCCATCCATATATCTTTGTTGGTGAAATGTCTATTCATAGATTTTGTCTTTTTTTTTTATTACATTGGTTTTATTGAATTATAAGAGTACTTTATATTGAGTATAAATTCTGTACTGGATATATATTCTTCAGTATTTTCTTCCAGTTTGTATCTTGTCTTTTAGTGTTCTTAATAGTGTCGTTTGAGGAACAAAAGTTTGCTTTGATGACTATTTAAGAACATTTAAATGAGTTTTTTTGATATAGTGTAGTTCTTGAGTTAAAGCAGATTTTGTAGACACGATGTGCTCTTACCCACAGTGAGGAAGTAGATTAAACATCATACAGAGTGCTGAGTAAATAAAGTTATGGCCTTAAGGTAGAAGATACTGATAGAACATAGATTTTTTTTTTTTAATAATTAAAAATTGATCCTGGTGAGAGAAGACAAGAAGATACGATAGACAAGAAGATAATTCATATATCACATATGATAGATATGTGTACTTAACCAGACTGCAACAGAATTTATTCTGAAGATTAAATATTTATAAAATGATACATTATTTGAGGGGTGGTATTTTGTTGACACTAGTAGAGTAGTTTTCCATTTTCTAAAGTGGATATATGGATTCTGCATAAAGTGGATATAGCTTGTGTTTGTGATCTAAGCAGACTGGTTTCAGGGAAGGCTTTCCTCTATACCAGAGGTTATCTTTTGTACCAGTTTATGAGAAGCTGGGATTGTTAGGCAGAGGCCTATTTTAAGAAGTCTATTTTAATATATGGCACCCATTTCATTTTGAAAAACAGAGCCAACTTTTGCAAGCTATTAAAGTGCAGAGTCTTTGGGGGAAAGATGATTCTTTTCTGAGAGATCAAACCATCCTCTTAAAATCTTTCTGTATCTCAAATTTGTTTTCTTTGAAGGAGAAAGTAGCAGCATTCATTTACCATAGCTCATTATTTTTAGTAACTCTTGGTAGTAAGTCTTCACTAATTTCACAAGTAGTTTAGGAATACATTCTCATGGTGAAAGATTTAATACAGAATGAAGAATGAAAATCTCTACATTTCCCTCATCTTGAACTTCCTGTCTCTGCTGTCAACTTAGGATATCCTTCCAGACCTCTTTCTATGAATATATGTATTTTTTGTTTTGCACAATAGGATTATTTCACCAGTTTACTTTTTACACATAATAGTCTGAGTGATCTTTCCAAGTCAGTTCATCATTCTTTTTGATGATTGCATGATGTTTCCATACATAGTTTGGATGAACCATAAAATTATTTAATTATTCCTTATCTATTAGTGGAATCTTGGGGCTATCTGTAAAAATTTTTTTTAAACTATTACAAATAGCTATAGTGGACATCCTTGTTTATATACACTTTTGTGGACATGTGAAATATTTCTTTAGGATAGATTTTTTTTTTTTTTCTTTTTGGCTGCACTGTACAGCATGCAGGATCTTAGTACCCTGGCCAGGGATCGAACCTGTGCCACCTGCAGTGGAAGCACAGAGTCTTAACCACTGGACCACCAGGGAACTCCCTAGGATAGATTTATACAAGTTGAATTGCTGGGTCAAAGAGTATATGGATATTTAAATTTTTGATATATACTGGCGCTTTCCTTCTGAAAAGCTTAAGGACTTAAAAGAGACTCCTTTAGTACTAGAACTTCTACCACATGTTAAAGTGATTGCTGGGGCACTGCTTTCTTTGTACCTTCAATCATCCTGAAGAGAGAGGACCTGCCCTTTTTCATCCTTCCTGATTCTTGAGTTCTGCTTTGAGTCCACATCCCGTTTTCTGGGCACGAATCATGTGCCAGGCTCTGTTCTGGGTGCTAGGTTGGAGGGCAGAGTCTTTGCCTTTAACAAGTTCTCAACTTAGAGATACTACTCCGTCATCTTGCCACATCAGTAGGAACTCTTATTCTAGCTCTGTTACTAAGGCTTTTTTGCGACAGAAACTTGGGCTGCTTTTTAGTATGTGTTATTATAGCCTGTTTCATAGAAATGTTTTTATAGAATTCATAATACTAACAATATTAATGAGCTTTTCTAGCTAATTAGATATATCATATAAAGATATGTATTAAGGTATTGTAAAAAGTAGGAGACATTTATGTGCCAACTTTTTTTGTTCAATACAGGAATGGGTTGGACAAGTGGAAATAAGTGCCCTTTCTCTTATGTACAGGTGAGCACTGTAATAATGTAGGTAAACAAAAATAAAGTCAGTGGGAAATTAACATGTTCCATTGTAGTCAAGTTGTTAAAATAGCAAAGCAGTTTTATGCCTTGGTTGTAAAAGCATCTTTTCTAATATTTTGCTTTTTTAATTGCATCAGTTAGATTTTGACATTTAGGTATCAATGTATAGAGATTTTAATTTTCCAAATATTTTTGGAATGGAATATAAAAATTTTTCCAGGCCTATAAACTATATCACTTATCATCAGCCTTCTAGAGAAATGATGTCCTGCTCTGAAGGCTGGTAGCATTGAATGGCCACTATAAAGGCAAAACACTATATTGTCAATTTTACAACTTTTGCCCATTAGCGGAGCAGGTGAATGCTCTATTTTTTCTTTTTGAAATGTCCTTATAAATATCATCTTCACAATTCCTCTGGTTTTGAGGTCTACTTTTAGAATTATATCTGAAGTTACATATATGCAAATTACATTTAAAATTTAATTATTTTACGATGATACTTTTATATAAGTATGTTACAGCTTAGTTATTCCATTACTATCTTTTGTTCACTGCTCTATTTCCAGTGCCTAGAATATTGCTTGGTGTATACTGGGCTCTTGAGTGAATGAATGAATGAGTGATTAAATGTCAATTCATGAAATATATTTCATCAGAAGTAATTTCTACATGTTATTTTCAGGAAAGATTTTATAATTTACCGGGAACCAAATGTTTCTCCTTCACAAGTAACTGAAAATAATTTTCCTGAAAAGGTAAGAATTTTTCTAAGTGTTTCTAAAGGATTTAAGTAAAAGAACCACTCAGTTGCCATCTTGACTGCCTAAGCTATAATTTTTAAGTGACTTTTTGAGTTTTTCTAAGTTCCTATTAATCATCCATGAGTTACATTATTTTGTATTTGTTTTTTCCCACAAATCACTATGTTGAACTCTATCGTAACATTTTACTAGGGAAAAAAAATTGAGATATTAGTGTATGTGATTAATTAGACTATTACTGTTTTACATCAATATAAACATTAAATAGAAAAATAACTTGTGAAAATGGGTTCTGCAATTGCATCCACAAATACTTTGGTCATTGTGATGTATTTCCCATTGTAAAGATAATTTACTGGCTAAGGTGCTATTATTTAGTCACAAAGCAGAAACAACTGAAAAATGATGTGAAGCCTAGAAAGGGGACAAAAACATGATTCATTGTTAGAGAACTTTGTTTTGGTATCATCCAGGCCAAGTTGAAGTGTCTTATCACCATGCAAATGGTGGTAAGGGGGCAGGGAACTGAGTGAAATAGACTTTATAAGGACTTACAGGTTTCCAAGGTGCTTGGCTCTGGATCTGGCCTTTGCAGTATAATTTTTGGAATATGACGTAATCTAAGCAAAATCAGTGTGTATTTTTCTTAGCATAAGTGATTGACTTATGCTAATACACATAAGGTAATACACATAAGACTTACCTATACACATACAATACACATAAGTGATTGACTATTTAGAAGGTACTTAAAACTGTAAAGCAGAAAAAATTTTTCTTTGATTCTGCTTCTTAGAGGTAAGCATTATTAAAGTAAGGTTTTAGAATATTTTCTTACAGTCTTTTAACCCTCATCTTCAGGTAGTTGAAATCACGTTGTTTTCATATATTGTGTGTGATTTTTGTGATCCCATAAGCATTTCCCCAAGTCATTAGGAACTTTTGATTCATTGGCTGTGTAACATTTCAGCATATGGATGTACCATATGGTCATGTACCATGTACATGTACCATGACCACATTGGAGCTTTAGGTTACTTCTAAAATATTCACTTCCTACTAGGAAATTTATTTACTAGTAATTCAGTGATATTAGAGATGTAAGTTGCTATGTAAATGTCATATATGAAGGGCTGAAAAGTGTATTTTATTTTTCTCTTTCAGGTATTACTGTGTTTTTCGAATGGCAATCATTATGATATTGTCTATCCCATAAAGTATAAAGAGAGCTCTGCTGTGTGTCAGTGTAAGTAATCACCCTTGTGCTTATATAGGAAATTTTCTTCCTAAGCATTATAGTCTAGTGCAAACAAGTCCGGGCAAATGCACTGTTTTGTTGTAAAAATATATTTCTGAGATCCTTAGGTTACCAAAAATGTTAATGCTATAATAAAAACTTATTTCAGTAGGACAAAAAAGGCACTAGTATAGATTAGAGTTTGGCTTGTAAATACAAAGTTATTTTTTCTTGCAGTAATTAATTTCAGTAATAATGATTTGTATGTGTTTTTAAAGCTGTTAGTGTATAGCTTGAAAATCTAAATGACAGAGGAAATCAAGTATTTGATCGTATTTGGCTCTAGACCTGGGTTTCTTGACCTTGGCACTCTTAATATTTTGGGCCGGATAATTCTTTGTTTTGGGGGTTGTTTTGTCCATTGTAGGATGTTTAGTAATATCTACTCTGTAGATGCCAGTAGTGCTCTCTCTCCCATGTGACAACCAAAAATGTCTCCGGATTTTGCCAAGTATTTCCTGGGAGGATAAAATACCCCTTTCTTCCCCAGTTGAGCATTACTGCTGTGGTAGCTCCTTCCTGCCTTCTTACTTTATCTTCTTTATCATCTATTATGACAAAGTGCACGTGACTCATACAAAGCAGTGGTGCTGGGCATGTGATGGGCATTTTCCCTCTGTTCTTTAGCTGGGGGTGACCAGTAAAGACATGTGTAATGTAAAATTTTAAATTGATCTATTTGAGATATGGGAGTCTAGCTGTCTGTATCCTGGGCTGTGTCCTCCACCTGTACCAGCTAGTCAAAATCTGGACATTTCAGCTTTGGGAAGGACAGCTCATGGTGCCTACCTTTCCTGTACTTCTCAGAACCTGTGGTTCCGATGATATTGGGATGAATGCAAGGTGGTCTGTGAGAAAGGGGGTCTCTTGGGGACTCGTTTAGGGGGTGGGCACCATTGTCAATGAATTCTTCGTGGACTTGTTTGGGTAAGGTTCAAAGTGAGAATCCTGAACTCCCATGTGTAGGTTTTGAATGTTTGGTAATATATATTTCTATGTTTTCTGGAATTTGTTATTTTCTTCTTCTTTTTTTAAAGCAAAGAAGTTGTCTAAATATGCTTCAGTGGCTGCTGAGAATACATTTTACAATGGTTTCTCTTTAGTCCATTATGAAAAGTTATCTTCTTTCTAGCAATCTTAATTTTCCTTACGTTTTCCATCCAAGCCTCTTTAGGTTGGGCAGGTTGTGTGACATCTCTAGTTCTCAGTTTCTTCATGTGTACAGTTAGAATAAGAACATTTCACTGTGCTGGCATTAAATATGAAGGTGGTATGTAAAGGCTTAGCACAGTGTGTGGGATGTAGTCATTGCTCACTGTGCATGTTTAATTTTATCATACTTGGTTCAAAGTAGTGATACCTTTTTGTGTTATTGTTAGTTTTAAAAATGTCAGTATATTATATAATGATTTTTGAACTAATTAACTGCAAAGACAGAAATCTAGTTCCTCTCTATCTAGGTAACTTTCTGATTAAATTGTGTTATTGCTTATAAGGTGTTACAGGTATTTAGTTAGGATTTGGAAGCCCGGGCAATCTCAATGTTATGTTAAAACGTAAAGTGAGTTAATATTGTGTAACATCTCTCTTTGTTAATTGCAGCTCTGCTTTATGAATTGTTGTATGAGAAGGTATTTAAGACTGATGTTAGTAAAATCTTGATGGGACTAGACACCTCTGAAGTAGCTGATGAAAACAACAGTGAAATATCAGATTCAGAGGATGACAGTTGCAAGTAAGAGTGAATTTCAGTCCTAAAATATCTTTGTAGTGCCATACAAAGAAACAGTTCAGTAAATGCTTCTGCATGGAGTAGCCTCACATATTGAGGTATTATGGTATTCCTAAAATACAGCAATACAGAAACCTATGCAGTAAGTTTCTTTTTTCCTGCCACTAATTTTATCTCATTTCTATTATAGGACTGTTTCTTTTGACAGTTGATTTTGTTTGTTTGTTTTTGCTAAGCGTCTATTTCTGTGTAATCGTGATGCACATATCTCTGAAATAGATTTGGTCCTGCCTATATGTGTGTATATTCTAAAATTTTAAGGTTAACCTGTCAATTGCTTACATATCCAGTGATGAAAACGGCCATTTTGATTTCCTTGACTTTCTTTTATTGTTTTCTTTCTTAGATAATGCTGCCTCCTTTTCTTTTTATATAATAAAAATCCCAAGTTGGGGTATAAGTATGTGAACAGTTCTGGATAATGCCTTTGTTTATGTTGCAAATAAACACCTTTTAACTTAGAGTCTGCAGCTTATTTTTCTTTTCCACTTAAAACATATAGGGTAGTGGCTAAAAGCTTGGGCTGTGGACATCCTAACCTGGTTTCATTCCTGGCTTACTGCCAACTAACTGAACTTGGGACAAGTTACTTAAATTCCGAAGAAGCCTCAATTCTATAGGTATAAAATGAGGATATATTAGTATTTCTTTAAAGTGGAGAATTTATAAGAATTAAATGAGATAACATGTAGAATGCAGAGCCTAGTTCCTAGGTATAGTATCCAACGTATATTAGTTTTTATCAGTGATGTTAAGAAGCTTACTCTGTATTTTATAAGAACCGACCTATTTCATTCTTAGTGAAGCTAAAAGTATATCATTCCTTTTGTATGAGAGTATGAAAGTACCCTTCATGGTGTCACATACTGTGAAACTAGAGAAAAATAAAATTAAGCCTCAGGATATCTAATTCTTTATTAAACACTTAAATATATCTCTATTTGTAATTCCCAGCATTTCTTGAATTAAATTGTAGATCCTGATTGAAAATTTGGTTGACTACCATTTTTACATAAGAAATGAGTCAGATTAAAATCTGGGTCTGCCATTGTAAATTTAATCCTAGAATAGACATAATTAACTTTGCACAGATGGAAATTCTGCTGCATGGTTTTCTCCAGGTGCCTAGTATGATTAAGGCATGTCATTGAGCTTAGGGGAATTTTGAGGGAGAATGAATAACTAGCTTGTTGTAGCTTATTAACTTTACTTGGTGTGTGGGGACTTCCAGCAGATGCCCTTTGGTTGCTGCTGCAGTTCTGGCAACAGCTGGGTCTGGGTTGGCAGCTGGCAGGTGAAGTAGGCGAATTGTGGAGTAGAGGCTAGTAAGCTGGAGAAGTTTACCAGGGATGGTGTGCTCATTGTAATGATCAGTTTTCCTTTTTATACTATATTATTGAAGCCCTTGGAACATGGAAGCCTTTCTAATTAATTTTTTCTTGCATTATTAGGATTTCCTTTTACTTGTGTCATGTCTGGCTTAGGGAGGACCAAGCTTCATTTAGAGAAGAATGCTACATAATCATGGCAAGATAGATAGGCATAGTGTGTGATATCCAGGCACTATGCTCCTGTGCCTGGATCTTTTCACATTCATATTGATCAATCCTGAAGTATTAGAAATTAGGGTGCTTTTTTAGTCCAGACTCTAAATACTTGGGGTCTCTTAAATATTGCTGCATTTAAGGGTATAGATTTGGAGATTGTCCTAAAGACTAGAGATTGATTTATTAAGGTGGAGGAATTATATGACAGAAGAGTACAGGTAGCCTCTCACCTCATCAGCCACTCAACTTGCCATCAACTTGTCCAGCCTCTTGCCTACCCCCAGGTCTTTGCACTTGCTGTCCCTTCTGCTTGCAATACTAAATAGCCGTGTGGTTTGCTGTCTCATCACATTTAATTCTTTATTCAAAAAGACATCTTCCTTCATCCCATTTTTTATTATTTGATCCTAGGTCTCAAAACTAATTTTTTCCTACCTTTTATCCCCCCCCAAAGCACTTAGCAGCATTTAACATACTGATTACTTATTTAGTTGGTGTCTACTCTTACCTGATTGTATATCTTGTTGTAGCGGAATATTTTGTTTAATGGAGCCTCATCTATATTTTGAAAGGAAATTTTTACATTAAATGTTTTTATGAACTCAGTTATTCTACCAACCCAAATTTCATAGTTTATTTCTGTTTCTTCTTGATGATCGAGTCAGTAAGAATTACTGATAAAAATCTTTGATCTATATACATACACACATAAGCACATGTACATATATACATATATATACATATATAT